GTGGCCTCTGGTATGGTCGCAGTCTCCTTTCGATTTATAAAAGTGGGTTGACCTCGTTGTCGCAACTTGGCCTTGTTGTCAGGGCGACTTATTCCAACTCACCTAGTCCTAAGTCGTCTGCATTAGTAGTTGTTATGATTCCCAGCATCAGACAGTGGACTTGGTACATTCTCAAACGTTTCACCGGCATCATAGTCGGCATCATCAGTGAGTCTCTTTGACGAGTTCGTGTCTTGGTGTGGAGAATGGCAAAACTCACTGACGATGCTGATAATGATGTCGGCGAAACGTTTGAGAATGTACCAAGTTCACTGTCTGATACCAGGACTCATGACAACTACTATGGCAGACGACTTCGGATTAGGTGCGTTCTACATAGTCCCCCTGACAACAAGACCAAGTTGCGACGAGGTCAACCCACTTTTATAGTTTCCAGCCCTATCTAGCTCTCATGGGCCGATACTTTTAGACTGTTCCATCTTTTTTTTTGTTATGTAATTGCCTATCCTCGATTCCTCCATCCACCCTCTATCTTAATTTAATTCGCCTATCCTTCTGCTGGTCCGTATGTTCATTTACTTGACCCTACCCCTTTTATGCATCTTGTGCTTTACCTGATGACACGTCTACTTTACTCGTCTCCAGTTCTTTCTTCGGCAGTTTCTCTACTCTTCTGCAAATATACTCTTTTGACTGTATTTTTTTGGGCTTTTAAGAAACAAAATATAATTATTTAAATAGATATTTAGCTAACTATCTATTTTTAGATTTGCCTAACTGCTTGGTAGCCATGCACTGCGAGTATGTGTATTCGCTGCTAGAAGGGCGAAGCCCTCTGAGTTATACTGCTCCTGAAATAGGATTATTTTTGTGATATGGTAAAAGGCCTGGCCTTCCTTGAAATTCACATTTGCCCCGTGACCCAAAGGGCATTCGTGGTGATGTGGCCGGGTAGTTAACGTGTCAAGCTCATATTCTGCACTGTCACGGTTCGAGTCCCGCTGGGGGTGTGGATAAGACCGATGCGAGGTCGAAATTGCAGTCGACCCTCTTTGGAACGCAAGGCTCTGCGAAATTCAATGGAAACGTCAGATCTACTCATATCATTGTTGGAAAAATCGAACTCCAGTCCTTAATCGCCTTAAGGGTGAATACATATCATGTAACTGGTTTAACTTTGGTTGCTTGGGGGAATTGCCGCTACGGGGCTCGATCTCTTCTATCGGATTTTCTCAATATGCATACTCTCTTCCGTCCGTCTACTTTCCGAACGAACGAGTAAACAGGGCACCATTGCACCTTTTCTGGTATCCGCGTGGCCACTATTGCATTTTTGAGGCAATGCTCGTCTGTTTATCTCCAACCTTTTTTGACGTCCCGCCATCAAATATGCCCATTCTTAAAGCGACTCGGCTGAAGCTGATGCAGGCTTATATTGCAGTTTACAATTGTGCACTCTGGTATGTCAAAATAAATGCTTGCTTTATCAGTTTGGGTGGCTAGATAGCAAAATGTATGGGAAGATTTGATAGGATATGTCCAATCCCATGCATCCCTATGGAGCTGATAGTCGCGTTACTACGTTATTTCGTGCTTTTATCTACCTCCTCTTTCCCGCCTTATTTTCAGCCGGTTGCGCAAATTCCGTAAACGGGTCAGACGTGCCGTGGTTGCATTCGTAAACAGTCGGCAATGCTTCATCCTCATCATAATGCTTGTCTTTCTCAACACCGTTGTGCTCACCACGGAACACCACAATCAACCTTCCTGGCTCGACAAATTTCAAGGTGAGTCTTTTCCCTTTCCCAAGGGAACTAGCAAACTTTGGTCCCTCGGCGAACCCATACAGTCTCTATTGTCGGACAACTTGGTCTTATTCAAGGTGGATTGCACTTTTGCCTTTGGGATACTTTAACTTCAGACGAATGGTCTTTACTTGCCTCCCAGATCACATGGCCTTAATGCCTTTGGGCTGTCTGGAAGGTGCTTTCAGGGCAAGAGAGGTTCTCTTAAAATGTTTGCATTTGACTCAACTTTTCACTCTACGACGGCAGCTTTGAAAGGCGCCTTTAGCTTGGTGCTTGCGCTAACATTGGTCGAGATATAAAGCAATTTAATCCTTTCTGGCGCCAAGGCAACTAGTTCTCCGAGGGCGATCATTGTGTTTGGTCAAAAGAAAGCATATAAAGAAACGGTGTGACCTCGTTTTTAGCATCCCGATCGAGCAGCTTTCTTCGCTTGGGGACAATTTTAATGCTGAATTTGCTTCGTTTCAATGTTTTTACAAAATTCGTAGATTGACCGCACCGGAAACTGAAGGAAGGGGACTGTAATTGTGACTTTATTGTGTTCGAGTATATTTTAGGCCCCAGCTCATCGTCCTACGAACCTGATGAATCAGTGCTGAGCCGTTCGTCTGTCCTGTCGTGACGGCGGACATCGTCAGATCAGGAAGACATTATTTGATTAACCACAAGCAAAGCCTAAGCGACGCATCGTGGCCAGACACAATTCTTCCTACTTCATGCAGATCTTATTGAGGCTTCCACAAATTTGTTGGATTACGTCACCGCTTCTCTCATCTGCCAGCACGTAACGAGGAGCATGAATTAGCCAAACAGATCGCTGAAGGCCTCAATAAGATTGCGAAATTTTGTTACAAAACTTAGATAGAATTATAACTTTGCCACATTCTCAGTTGTTATGTATGAGGATTAGATAGATTTCGTGGCCATCGGACATGTTGCCTAAGAGTCAGAGTCTCACTCGGCCCATTAATGTGCATAGACTGATGGTTTAGCTTCCCACAGTGGAACGATAGAATGCCTCACGATACAGTTGATTTCACTTGGTTTTCTCGTTCTGGCCAGCCTTTAGATGTTCCTTTTCCTCGGTCTCATCTGCATCCCCATAACGATTTGAAATCGAGTTGGGCTCGTCAAGCGACAAGATTGCCATTCCGAGGGAGCCAGTTTCCGGGATGAATTGGCCACAATTTACATTTTTATAGTGTAACTTTTAATGAAAACATACACTTTTATTTGCTATTGCAACCAATTTGATTACTATTAACAGAGTAAGAAAGCTTCGAGCCTATCATTATGTTATAAGTAGACATCTTGGTTTCACCTTATCTCGCTTAAGGAGAAAGAAAGCCGATTTTTCAGTTTTATAAAATGACTTGAGCAGCATTGCAGTTTGTTAAATAGTGCATTCTAGTTATGACGCTGTTTGTTACGGCAGGACGGGCAAAAACTTGGCACCGATTTATCGAGATCGCTATACCATGTGCCAAGGACTTTTCCGATCAAATAGACCATCGCAACTGTTGGGAAATCTTCTTTTGGCTTTCGCGTCAGCTAATTTACGACTATTTGCTACCCAACTTTTCAGTCATAATGAAAATTCCCATAAAATGCAGAATTAATATATTTTAATGTATGCTTAATTGTGCCATGGGCATCTTACAAGTGTAGCTGAAAGCATTAAGAGGGCGTTCAGAAGACTCGTGCACTAAAGGTGCATTTTTGCGGTCAGTCCTAAACGAGAACAGGTCAACTTTGGCAAAACAAATATCTCTGCGATCGTCGGGCAAAACAACCATTTGAGAATTGCCCTATAATGCTTATGTATAGTTTATTGAAGCAAGGGTAATCGTGTTGCCAAGGCTCGTCCCTGCCATGATTTATTCCTTTTAGAGCTGCGTCTGGTCATCACGCTGACGAAGAAGTGTGATTTCATTGACCATACTGAATTCGGCTCCAAGTGATTCATAGGTTTCCGAGGTCATATAGTCTTCAAATAAGATCATGGCTACCGCTTCCCTTAGCAACCTAAATGAAATAGGATTAATACATCTCATTTATAAGATCGTGGATGTTTAAAGGTTACACTTAATGACGGGATTTGCAGAATGTCAGACTGGCTCTCCGTGCTGCGTCTAGTGGTCATAGTCAACGGAATAAGATAAGAGTATAGTTTATTGGTGGGAGCACCTTATTGAAGTTGTAGACTATGTTTTTTAGCATTGAGGTAGAGACTTGCATTTCATATAAAAGTGCATGATGAAGAGAATTTTTGATTGGTATCACCGGAAGGCGACTGCCGATTCGCATTGTTCTGCAGCCGTTTGGCTTTGATACGACGTTCGGGCGGACGCAGTCCACGAGACATTCTCCCTCGTTTCGGGTGAAAACGGGCTGAAAGCAGTGTTTAAAGAAATCCTCACATTTTCTTCTGTTATGCAATCTTTTAGATGGCATAGGTGGACTGCGTCGACCTGAACGTCGCATAAAAGCCAAACAGTTGCGGTACAACGGGATTCAGCCGTCGTCTTCTGGTGAGATCGACTTTCGAATCTCTTCTACATGCAATTTTTATGCAAAACGAAAGTCTAC